GTGGGAAAATTCTTCTTCTACCAGTCCTTCATCACCTTAAACGAAATTGGTTGAATACATCTCATATTACTGATTTACTGTTAGTCTTGAAGCAATACTTAATGCAAAAAATAAAGAAATAAGATAGAGCCGGATAGTGTTCTTGGCCTAGCGTTAACGTGAGACTCTTACAAGAATGAAACCCAGCTCTGATGATGTCCATCATATGATGAATGAAAGCTCAGCACATTTTCACCCGAAACGAGGAAGAAAGTCTTGTGGACTGCGTCAACATGAACATCGTATAAAAACCAAACGGCTACAGTACAACGAGATTCATCCGTCCTCGTCTGGTGAGATCGACCAACGAATCTTTTCTTCATTCACCTTCATGTGAAATGAAAGTTCTCCTAATAAATTTTATTTGCCCTTTCTAGTGTTCAATTTTAATGTATTGGTTTGGTTATCCGTAACATAGCCCTCTAAGCAGTTTTGATAGTGAGGTATTTTATTTTTATTGTGTCTCATTAAGTGTACTGAAATTTTTGCTGTGCAGAATGTTAATAAAGACGTTAGTATGTATTAGTTATTAATGTCAACCTCACACTGCTTATAGAAGAATGAAGTGCTTTGGCGTGCTTATCTAATTTACTCCTTCTTGTGCGCATTCTGATTTATCCTTTGATAAACTTATTTGCTGGCATTTTTGATGATTTTTAATAGAAAAGCTACTACTTATTTTGAGTACTTCCAGTTCGATAGTTTTATTTGGATTTTTTCATGGTGATGTGTAAGTCTTCCTGTGAATATGTGAGCATATACACGTGGCGATTATGAAAAGGAGTCGCGTTTATCGGTTTGGAATTTCTAGAAGTACTTGGGCTTTGGCATGCACATGTAGCTGTTGAGGAACCTTTCCGTTTAAATTGCTTTGCTGGAGATGAAACTTCCAATGGTGAACACAAGTACGGAAATCTCCCGCTAGAAATAGGACTTTGAACTGTTGTTCCGGAGCAGTCTAGAATAGCTTGTTTTGGATGCACACTAACCTGAGACTATTATAGAGGAGGGACTATTGTAGAGTGTTGCTAATTTGTTGAACGGTCAAAAATGCTAGATTTCCAGGCAAATAGTACCAAAGGGCTTCAACTAAACTGCCTTTAAAGTGAATTTAGACTTCGATTTATATTTGTAAGTCAAATTCAAAGATGATCATAGAAAAGTCAAAATCATGCCCAAAGAATACATTTAAAGAGTAGAGGAGGCCGGGGAGGAGGAGAGAGTGATCAGAGCCAAAAGATTGAAGTTCAATGAGGTAGAATTCCAGTTTTGGCAGAGAGGTTAAATCCCGTCTGAGATGGGAAGGGGGGCGGGTTGTAGTGGAGATGAGAAAGGGGAGTATAAGGAGTGGGTAGAAAGCGGAGGCGGTCAATTGAGGAAGCCCTTTAGACTTAATATTATCATCTGATGGCAAGAGAAATGGAAATCTGTCCCCAAGACACCATTTCATTTCAACACTCAATCAGCTCACGCTGAAGACGGGCATAATCAAAGACGTGAGGAGTAGCTTTCATGAGAATCCTCCACACTCCACACTGGCATTCTCACCCCCCTTCACCCTAGTCCTGGAAATGTCGATCAGAGTCTGACCTGTTGTTACGCGGTCCTCCTTCCAGAGGTCTTACCATAGTCTCCCTCTCACCCCGTAGGATCCGTCTGCTATCATCTTGGTTCATGTATTTCACTCGACCCCTGCCACCCCATCTCTGCTACTCGACGCCTTATTTGCCACACTCCACTTCTGGGAGATGAACTTGAGGCTAAGGATTCCGAGTAATTCTCATCGTCAAGCCATTGCTTCATGGACCACGTCAATGGTAAAACAGTTCTACGGTCAGCCAACTAGCTCTAGTCTCTGCCTCGTCTATCCTGTCTTTATCCCTAATAATAAGTCTATAACATTCTCTGCCATGACCTCTTGTGGGCAAAACCAAAATTGTTGTTGATTAGGTTCAATGTTTAAACACAGCGTTTGTGGGTTGGCACACAAGAAACTAGGGCATAGGAAGTCATAGACTTGGTATTTGGGATAGAAAGAGGGTAGATGCGGTGAAGGCTAGAGTTAGTTGACTAAAAATAGACGTGCTTCATGGATCACGTTTATGATTAAGCACTACTATTGTTAGCAAATCAGCTCTAGTCTCCACCGCGTCTATCATGTTTCTATCCATAATACCATGTCCATCACTTCCCATGTGCTAGTCTCTTGTATGCCAACTCACAAATGTCGTGGTTCTACTTGTTTTGATTAGGTTCACGGAAGACGTCTCCTCTTGGCTTCTGATTGTTAGTTTCTGGTCCCTCTGCGATTTCATTTCTAAAATTAAGGATATTAACTTGATCCAGTCGTCTTCATTTTGCTGATCTTCCTGTTGCCTGGTCTTCTTCGAGTTTGTTTAGGCAATATGCAAAGTTTTCGCTAATCCTGCTGATCTCCTTTTCATTAGATTTTTCTCGGTCAGTATTTTGATGGCCTCTCAGATCTTGAGTTTTCTCGTATCTTCACCACATGCAGCCAACCTTTGGGTCGATTTCCAGTCGATTTCGTGCCCCGTTCGTGCAATGTGTTTCGCTATTTCTCATCCTTGTGTATCCATGTTCCTGTAGAGTCTTTGATGTTTCCCTGATTCGTAGGTCGATTTTTCTTCCTGTCTCGCCGATATTCTTCTGCTCGCAGTTGCCGCATTTGATGCGAGAAACTCCCGAGCAATCGAGTTTGTCCGTTTTCTCGTGTTGCGTCGGCAGATAGGTGAAAAGTGTTTTTTTCTCCTTTCTTATCACCTTGATATTACATTTCCTTAGTAACGGTCGCAATTAATGGCTCAGTTCTGATGAGGGCAGGCAAATCCACTTTTGGTCGTCCTGATTCCTGATCTGCATTTCATAAAATCCGAGGTGAAATCTGCCTCTTATAACCTCTACATTTTTTTCTAGAAATTCTCTGTGGTATCCGTTAATAAGGCAAATCCGTGTCAGTTTGTCCAACTCCTCGTCCCAGAACTCAGTGTTAGTTAGTCGTAAGCTTCTGATGATCAAATTCATCACTATTCCGATCTTCATTCTGTAGTTATGATGAGATTGAAAATTAAACATTATTCCCACATATGAATTCTTTCTGTATAATCTCCTTATAAGTGTCCCTCTGGAGCGTATGACTTCAACATCCAGAAAGGGTAGCCGTTCATCCTCCTCCACCTCCATTGTGAATTTAATTCTTTC